AACATTCGAAGAAACCTCATGAAGCTCCAAAATGGCAGGACCTTTGTAAGGAAAAATAGGGGTTAATTGCATGGTTGGTCACTAAGATTACAAAAAAGTTCAAGTTTGGTCACTCGAAATATTTAAATCCATTGATGGTACTTCAGTTTACTGAAACCGTTCATGTTTGGTCACTCTCCGTCCAACTCCGTTAACTTTTGCTTACGTGGCGATCAACTCTAAAAGTTGACCGTTAAATGTCTGACGTGGCAATTAAAAATTTATTAAAAACTAAAATTTAATCTTTGTATAATTTCCAGCTCATTTTCACAAATATAAAAAATTTAAAAAATTAAACCACCTTTTTTTTAGAGTTACTAATTAACGCCAAAATCCATCGCCCTAAAACGTAGTGAAACTACACATTTTCCCCTTAACCATCGCCCTAAATCGTGCATCTCGCTCTGCTCTGCCGGTCGCCGCCGCCGTTGTGCTTCCTCACCCAGCAGGCTCTGCAAAACCTTGCAAATCAATCGTCTCCTCTTCCTCCGACGTTGTGCTTCCTCACCCAGCAGGCTCTGCAGACCGCCGACCCAACACGCCGATCCTCCCGTCGTCAATCTCTGAAATTTGATTCCACTGCCGAGAAGCCAGGTCAGCAATCGATGAGGAAGGGAGGAGCTCGAGGAGAAAGGAATTAATAGAACTGTGGACACGGGGATTTCTCCCTGGCGTCGCCGGACCAATCACCCTTCGCGGTGTATTTTATGTTTTTGCTATCTGTCACTTGGTAAAGAAATTAGAAATCCTCCAATGCTCTGAGTCCCATCATCCGTATGAGTGGGAGCTCGATCGACATTACCAATTTCCTATCCCGACGACGACAACGCATCCCTTCAGTGTTTCAATTTGACTGGCACATCTGCAATAGCTCCCCCAGCGGAAGGAGGCACTGCGAAGTTTTTTTTCCATCACAGTCCTCTCTCTGTAGCTCGGTGTGTCTTCCGATCTCTATTCCGACCGGGTTATCCCTTAGCTTCCCCTGTTTCAAGACGCTTGGATAGCAATTTGATAATGAATTTATCTGAATCCAATTTCCCTTGGTTCACCATCTCCTTGAGCTGCACCATACCCAGGAAGGAAAACAGAAGTCCCACAATGAGCTATTCACAATTTCTCATTAGATCAGACCCAATTTCCGGGATAGGAAAGACGACGGAGATCTGGCGATGTCGGACTCGGGATTAAACGCCAAGGACGGGGAGGCGGATAAATTCAGCGAGGGGAAAACTCTGGACACGGCTGTCAGTTGCACCGATGAGGACTTGGAATTCCGATTTTAGGGTTTTAACCGTAAAATTAAATCAAGGACATTAAAGTAATTTAAAATATTTTAGGACGATAAATTCAAATATTTAGGACGACGAATAGTAACTCTAAAAAAAATTAGGTGATTTAATTTTTTAATTTTTTATATATGTGAAAATGAGCTGGAAATTATACAAAGATTAAATTTTATTTTTAATTGCCACGTCACACATTTAACGGTCAACTTTTAGAGTTGACCGCCACGTAAGCAAAAGTTAACGGAGTTGGACGGAGAGTGACCAAACATGAACGGTTTCAGTAAACTGAAGTACCACCAATGGATTTAAATATTTCGAGTGACCAAACTTAACGTTTTTTGTAATCTCAATGACCAACCATGCAATTAACCCGGAAAAATAGACTCGACTCTAGGATCCCGCGGACAGCGGTGGCCGGAGAGAGAAGAGCCCCAAGGCTAAAGCATAAAAGGAACGAATCTAATGTAGTCTACAGATATAGATACAGTTCCAGCAATGAGGCTAAAATCAGGTGACTAAGGGGTCCCCTTAGTCACATGGCTAAGTGAATCTCAACCTCATTAAAATTCAAAGGCTCCTATTAATCCAATTTAATGAAGAGCAATGTAGTAATTGCATGTTTATTTTTAATTTTGAATTATAAAAGAAATAAAAAAAATTAACCCAGCGCCGTTTCCGTCCCCGTCCCTTTGTGTCGCCTCCCGTCCCCGTCCCGATTAATTGCGCCGCCTCCGTCTCCTTTGCAATTCCTGGGCGCCATTATTTCCAGGGAAATTTCCCCAGAGAGAGTTCATGGGCACCATTATTCTAGGGGAATTTCCCGAGAGAGAGAGAGATTTTCGACGGCGGAGGAAGCTTTTCTCGTGACCGGAGATGGCATGAGATGATTTCCCGGCGAGAGTGTCACTTTATTATGTTTGTCGGACTATTTTGTAATTTTTGTAAATCTCGTTTGTAATTATGTATTAATTGGTTTGTATCATTTATTATTCTAGTTTGTCATTTTTATCTTTATGTTTGTAATGTTTATATGACTAATTTGTATATATTGTAATTTGTAATGTTTGTTTATTTGTTTTGTATACTTTGTATTTATTGGTTTGTAGTTCGAGTTTATCGATTTGTATTGTAAGTAGTGGTATTTTGTAATGTTAGTATGGTTTGTAATGTTTGTCGGTTTATTTTGTAGTGTTTGTAAGCTTTGTTATTTTGTAATGTTTGTAAACTTTGTTATTTTTGTTCACCATGTTTGTCATTTTTACAAAACATACAAACCATACAAATCACACTGAAATTATGTACAAACATACTAACAATACAAACCGACAACACTTGCATTACAATCACTGTTCTTCCCTCTCTCTCCACCGTTGTTGCCGCTGTCGACTCTCTTTCCACCGCCGCCGTCGCTGACTCTCTCTACTGCCGTAGCCACCTCTCTCTCTTCATCGCCGCACCGCCTCTCTCTCATCCATCGTGCGGACGCTCTCTCTCCGCCGCCTCTCTCTCCTCCATCATCGTCTCTCTCTCTCCTCTATTTTCCGATGACGCGGCTAGATCTGTTTTCTCTCTCTCCAAGGCTGCCGCCTCTGTCGCGATCTCCTTTTTCTCTCTCCACCATCGTCGGCGCCGTCAAGATCTCCATCATCGTCGGCTTTGGCATCGCCCTTCTCTCCTCCAGCGTAGCGCCGCCGCCTTTCTCTTTCTCTCTCTCCTTCCCTGCCATGGCTTTCTCTCTCTCTCTCTCTCTTTCTGGACATTGCAAAAAAGGGAAAGGGAAGACACGTGTTGCAGAGGGGAAAAAAGAATTCAATAATAATAAATAAAACAAAACCAAAAAATAGAAGTTAATCATTTATTGATAATGCCAAAACTACCCTTCTCATTTAATAATAATTAATTGATTTATCTAGACCATCAGATCAATCCAAAGGCTGAGGGGGGCTTAGTCAAGTTACTAAGGAGTAAGGACCCCCCCTTAGTCACCAGATCCGCACTCCAGCAATGGACGGCACCCGACCAATTTTCTTAATTGTCTATAAATAAGTACAATTTGGATATTACATCAACAATCCGCTGTAGCATTATAACCCAACGAATTCAACTCCGGGTTGTATGGCTCGGTAATTCACTAATTCCTCACAAAGGATCCCGGGTTCAATTCCCGGCAGCGGAAACTATTTTTCTTTTTAGTATTTTTTTACCTTTTGCCAACAACATTTCAACCTCTTAAAGGTCTAGCAACCCGGAGATGAATGGGCTGAAGGCACTAGGAAAAGATGGCTACCAGGCTATCTTCTTCCAAAAATGCTGGAAGCAAATAGGGAGTGATTTTACATCTTTCATTCTATCTTGCTTCTCTGCCCCTTATAATATTAGACTTTTGAATCAAACCCTCCTGGCTTTGATTCCTAAAACTGACTCCCCTGATTCTATGAACCAGTTTTGACCAATTAGCCTCTGTAACGTAGGTTACAAAGTTGTGGCTAAGTGCTTAGCCAATAAACTCAAGACTCTGATGTCAGTCCTTGTGCATCAAAACCAAACGAGTTTTGTCCCTGCTAGACACATTACTGACAACATCCTCATTTTGCAGGAGACTGTGCATTCGATGGCAAGGAAAACGGGAAAGAAAGGGAGCATGTTGTTGAAGGTGGACCTTGCTAAGGCGTATGACAGAATCGACTGGCAATTCTTGGAGCAGACCCTGAGATGTGCTAGTCTACCAGAGAACTTCATTAGGATGATCATGGAGTGTGTCTCAACCTCAGAAATGCAAGTGTTGTGGAATGGGGGGGAGTCAGAGAGCTTCAAACCAAGCAGAGGCCTACGTCAGGGATGTCCTCTATCCCCTTATCTTTTCACTCTTTGCGTAGAAAGGCTTAGTCATAGCATTCTTCAGGAAGTTAGTAACAAGAACTGGAAACCTGTTAAATTATCTGCTAGTGGTCCTGCCCTTTCCCACTTAGTTTTTGCAGACGATCTAGTCATTTTTGCTAAGTCAAACTGTAGGCAGGCTGAGATTATCATGAAGTGTGTTGACTCTTTTTGCCGGGCTTCAGGAGAACTTATTAGTAAGGAGAAATCCAGGGTTTACTTCTCTAAGAACATTAGAGGTAGTACTAGACAAAGTATTTGTGCTAAGTTGGGTATTCAATCTACTATGGACCTGGGTAGGTACCTGGAGGTGCCTATGCTCCATGGTAGAATGTCTAAATCAACTTACAAGTACATACTTGGAAAAATGGATAGCAAGCTCTCAACATGGAAAGCAAAAACCCTCTCCCTGACTGGAAGGGTCACCCTTGCTACTACTGTCTTGAATGCAATACCATCTTATGCTATGCAAACCTCTCTTATTCCCTGTTCAGTTTGTGATGCAATTGACCAAAAAATTAGAGCTTTTGTTTGGGCTCTTGTGAGGGGAAGAGAAAAGTGCACTTGATTGCCTGGGACACTATTTGTAAACCTAAGGATCAGGGTGTACTAGGTCTTAGGTCTGCTAGAAGCCTCAATATGGCGTATATGGTTAAACTGGCATGGCAAATTCTCAACAATGATTCTGAGTTGTGGGTTAAAGTTTTGCAGGGTAAGTACTTTCACCACAAGGAGGGAAGGATCTGCTCTATGAAAAAAAGCAATCACTCAAGCTTGTGGAAGGGAATAGTGAGAGCTATGCCCTTTATGAAGAAGGCTACCTTGTGGAGTTTAAGAGATGGGGAAACAACAGGGTTCTGGACTCACCCATGGATCTCCTGTGAACTAATTCTGAAAGAGCATGCACTAAAAGCACTGACAGAGGAAGAGCTGGCAGCATCAGTGGCTAGCTGGGTGGATGGCTCAGGTGAGTGGGACTGGACCAGGATGAGATCTTACCTCCCTAATGATGTCATTGATCTTATTGCAGGCACTGAAGCTCCAAAACCAGGGCTAGGAGAGGACAAGACAATCTGGGGAATTGAGAGGGACGGAAGGTTCAGACTCAAGTCTGCCTACCTTCTTGTGACTGGGGAAAACGAGGATCCACCACTGCAGACTTGGAAGGATCTCTGGAAATGGAGAGGCCCTAGTCGGATCAAGCATTTCTTATGGCTAGCAAGCCACAATAGACTGCTTACCAACAAGGAGAGGGAGAAGAGGAAGCTGACTGTGGATGGCTGCTGCAACTTCTGTAGAATAGCTGATGAAACCACAGAGCACATCCTCAGATCCTGTAATAAGACAGCTGGGGTTTGGAAATTCTTTGGTAACAAGCTTACGGTTGAAGACAAGAACCTGAACTTCCAGGAATGGCTGCATAGGAATATGATGGACCCTGAGAAAGGTGTGGACTTCGGCATCATCTGTTGGAGTCTATGGAAGCAAAGGAACGAGGAAGTGATGGATGGGAAGAGGTTCTGTGAAGAAGGACTTATCCATAGAATCACAGCATGGATCAATATTTATTGTCGGGCCACTTTGAATGCCCAGAAGAGCTTAATGTCACCCAAAGCCACCAAGACAAGTCATGAGATTGCTTGGAAACCTCCTAGAGAGGGATGGATTCAGGTCCAATCAGATGGATCTGTCCTTCAACCTTCTGGAAGTGCTGCTGCAGGTGGGCTGCTGAGAGATCACATTGGAAGATGTATGGGGGCGTTTACTTGCAATCTCGGGAAGTGTTCTATCACCAGGGCGGAGCTGAAGGGTGCAGCAGAGGGTCTGGAACTTGCTTGGAAGCTTAGCTACAGAAATGTTGAGCTGAATGTGGACTCTAGAACAGCGTTGGATATCATAAAAAATAGAGATCGTACTGATCACTGTCACGGGCTGCTTGCAAAGCAGTTTAATAGCTTACTTTTGAGGGAGTTGACTGTTGAATTCAATCATGTTTATCGTGAGTGTAATTTTGCAGCGGACTTCTTAGCTACTAAGGGTCATTGTTCTCCTTTTGGCACACATCTATTCGATGTGAATGACCCGAACTTCTGTTATTGGTTGTACCACGATTCTATGGGAATTTCCAGGAATCGTTTGATTAATGATATGATATAGGAAGCAGTTGCGTCTGTTTTCTACCCAAAAAAAAAAAGGTCTAGCAATTTAAACGAAAAGGAGGCTTTGAGGAAACTAAAAATCAAACGTCTTCCCGTCCTTTGCTTCCTTTCCTTTAACTTGTCCCGCCGCATAGACTCTGATTCCTGCCCAAACCCCACTTCCAAGGAACAAATGCATGCTCTATAGTCTATCCGGCCATCTTAGCTAATGTGTTAACAATCTGCGGTAGCATTATAATCTAAAATTTCCATTTCGGATTCTGAAGCTAGATGATTTCTAATGCGAGATCTTGAGTTCATTTAACTTTTCCCTTTGTGTATTGTGCTATATATCGCGATGTGCATGAAAGCTTGGCCTATTATGGAGGAGGGCACCCAGGCCAAATGAGCATCAAGAATGGACAGGACACGAACTTTTGGTCCCATAGATGGATAGACACGAGGGAGAGGCTGGCGGATATGACCAAGGATGACTACCCCGGGGGATTTCTCACTATCTATAGCGGATTTCGCCACCGCGACAGATGAGTGGGATCTTCCTCTGTTATCTCTTTTTTCCCCTGAGAACATCATTTTGCAGATAATGGGAGTCCAGGCCCCTCGACCGGATGCTGACGTACCGACTTGGGTGTCCGGAGAGTGATGGGAGATTTCAAGCTGGTTCTGCTTACACTATTGCCACCAGCTTCGACGAGGAACAAAAAGAGGAACCGGTGGAGGAAGATATGGAGATGGAGGGGCCCGACTCGAGTGTCCCATTTCCTTTGGTTGGCGTACACGGAGCGGCTCCTCACGAATCAGGACAGAGTCCGACGACACCTGGCTTCATCCTCCACATGCAGCATTTTGCAAAGATCACCCCGAAACGGTCCAGCATGTGTTGCGGGACTGTAAGTTTGCAAGGTTAACTTGGATGCAGCTTGTCCCGCTTTCTGATCACCAAAGTTTCTTTGACAATCATCTGCAGGATTGGATCTCTTCCAACCTTGACAAGGAGAATTTTAAACTCGAGTTCGGCCTTGTGTGCTGGTCTCTGTGGTGGACCAGAAACGATCGAGTCTTCGCAGACAAGATTGTTCCAGTTGAAGTTTTCTACCAGCGCGTTGTGGCATGAATACATGTAGTGCGGAATGCCATTGACAAAGACAGGTTAGTACATAAACCTCGTCTTCCCATGAGAACGGATGTGGAGATCTCGTGGAAGCCGCCACCTCCAGAGTGGGTTACCCTTAATTCAGACGGCTCCGTCCTTACTGATTCAGACCATGACACGGCAGGTGGCCGGGTACGAGATCACACTGGACGTTGTTTAACAGCGTTCGCTAATAACTTGTTTGCGTGTTCTATCACCCGAGCAGAATTGAGGTGCGCAGTGGAAGGTCTTCAACTGGCTTGGAACTTGGGCTATCGTCGAGTTAATATTGATTTGGACTCCCAGTGTGCGGTTCATTTACTTACCAGTACCGAGCATAGGGATCACCAACATGCCGCTATCATTGTCAGGTTCGAAGATTTAACGACTCGTGACTGGGGGGTCCGAGTCAAACACATCTATAGAGAGGCGAACAAATGTGTTGATTTCCTTGCGGGGCTCGGCCACTCGCTGCCTTTGGGGTTTCATTGTATTTCGAGTTACACTCCGGATCTATATCAGTTTCTTTTGTATGACTGTCAGGGTCTCTCTGAGACTCGTTTGGTTGTGAATGAAAGCTAGATGCGCTGCATCCATTTATAAAAAAATATATCGTGATGTGCAAGATAGGAACCAAATTTTGTTATAATGATCAGAGTCGTCTAACAGATATATTGCCATCGCTTTCATCCAGTGATGGTGAATTGTTTGTGTCCGATCCAGCGGCGGGAGAAGCATGTCAATACCATAGTTGGGATTAGGGATGGAAACTGGGGCGGGTGTGGTTACCCACCCCATATTTTGCGGGTACCTACAATCACAAATTTGCAATTATGCTATCCACAACTCGCACCATAGGAGTTAGTGGGTAACCAATACCCACTGCGGGTTGGGTGTGGTTACCCGCAAAAATCCACCTTTGCATGTACGGAGTTGAGGCCACCACCAATGTATTTGTTGTTCTTAGCTAGACTATAGTGATATACAATTGTGTCGTTCGTGAAGATATAATTTTGTATATCGATCTTACTCAACGTAGAGATTTTTTCTTTTCGAGTTTTGTATTCAAATTTTGTGTCAGACAACTGTGATTTCAGATATGATCTTGTATTTTCTTTCACACAAAAGCAAAATAATACATATAAAGTTACTAAATGTGCTAACTTTTAATGAATCGATTATTTTCCACTAAAAATTCTCACTTAAAACTGCTTAGATGTGTATTTGATTATGTGGCTACTTTAGTTTTTTGCCTCTCACTTTTCACATACTATTAAATTATAAAGTATTATTAGTAAATAAATATAATTAGTGTGGTTATTGTGGATTTTGTGGGTTAACCGTGGTGGATAGTGAATAACCACTAACCACAAAAATTATTTTTTAACTACCCAGACCCAACCCATTACCCACAACTTGTGGGTATGGTTGCATGCAAAGGATACGGGTTGGTGCGATTTGTGGTTATCCACAACCCGCAACCCAAACTTCCACCCCTCGTTGGGATTAGGGTGGGCAAACGGTTTGATAAACCCGAACCTAACCAAAAATGAATTAAACCGAACCAAAATCGAAACAATGCTATTCGGTTCAGAATTCGGAAGGAAAATATCAATATTTCGGAAACCAGGGTTCTTTCAACGGAATCGAAATTCTGAATTTCCGACAGAAAAATCGAAATATTATTATTGCAAGCTCCAAATGGTGGATTTTTATGTTTGTAGTTGTTTTTAAACTTAAATATTTGAAATATTTTATGACTTATGTGTTGAAAAGTTTTATTTTATCATTGATTATGCATATAATTGCATATTTATTGTTTATATTAGGGGTGCAAAATAATGTAAAATTGATAAGATACAAGTAGCCTCACAAATTCGGTTTTGTGTGAAAAACCAAACTGAATCAAATTATAATTCGGTTTAGACCGACTGAACCGAATTTTAATCCGGTTCGAATTTGGTTTGAGAGAATTCGGGGACCCGGTATTCATAATTTCAGTTCGGTCGAAACCGAACCGACCGAATGCCCACTCCTAGTTGGGATGGTAAAAATGAGGCTATAACTATACTTTATGTCTTCATCCCATGCGCATGTCATGTCAGCTATATCGATCACATACTATGCAAATCACTTCTTTCACTTCATATCTCCAACTATGGCTATAAATGAGCAAAAATTAGTACCCTATCGGCGATTGAACCTCAAAATATCAGTACCAAAGTCAATCCATATCGGTACAAGCAGAAGTGGTAAAAAATCGTGTCGGCCTTTTTTAGAGCTTGAACTAATGAATCATGGTATTCCAGCGGATTTTAATCATATCGAACAACCCAAAAAATAAAAATAAAAAATACCAACATCAAAAGGACGCCGTTTTGAGAGAAATTTAGCGGAAACAAAATGATAATCAGGTAAAACCCTCCTCTTCAACACAATGCTAATGACACTTACTCCATCCTTTTCTCTCCTCCTCTAAAGCGGCACTCAACTCTTTCCGAAAACAGAGACCCATCCCTCTCTCTAATAGTTGGGAGATAAGGCAACGTTTACCCTTTGCAATTGAGTTTAGCTTTAATATATTTGTATGGCCTGAACTTTGACCATAACAAACATCATGGCCAATCTTTTCGATCTATAACATCATGACTCAAACTATACATCAAAGTAACGACATTGGCCAAACCCAGATCAAATGCGTTGACTAATGGTCAACCCACCACGTCACTGCCCGATTATCATTAACTTAATTAAAAAATTCTCAATTTTCACAAATTCCAAATTTTCAAATTTTGTCAAAAGGATTTTTTTTTAATCCTCTCGCCCCAAAAACTAGCTTCCCCCCTAGATCCACCACCGACGGTAACTCCGAGTCCTCGACCGATCCCGATTCCAGTCCTCCAATCCCAGATTCTGATTCCACCTTCTCCTCGAACCCCTTCGAAACCCGTCCCAAATCCTTTTCCCCGAGTCCATATTACGATTCTACCTGCTCCTCGGACCCCTTTGAAGCCCGCATCTCCAACTTTTGCCTCCTACAGATTGTGGTGCTTCTGTGCGATTCAGAATTTTGATGAATCCTAATCCTCTGCTATCCATTGGGAGCACGTGGTTTCGAGGTTTAAGCAGCTGCGACCGAGCATCGTGGCAGTGGTGGAGGAGGAGGCGGATCTGGACATCAGCGGGGATTTCATCCGAGGATTCGACGAGTGCTTGCGGTGGTTTAGTGTTTACTTTGAGTGACGAGCACATGATGCGGGAGAGAGGATCCTGAAGGCCGATTTGGGATCTGGTGGCGTGTCCGTCGGCGGAGTTGACGGAGCGGAGGGAGACCGCAAGCGTGGTCGATGAGGAGATCGACAAAATCGCCGTTAGCGGTAGATCCGCCTCTGTTGCAGACCAGGAGAGAAGAATATATGGATTTCAAGATTGGGATGGTTATGTTTAATTTTTGTTTTAATTAAGAGTAGAGTTTGATTGGTCTGGAGAGGATTATGTTTGATTTGGGGTTGAGGTTTGGTAGCAGATGAGAGAGCTCTCTGTCGAAGAAGAGGTTGGGGGAGTAGACGGAGGGGAGCCGCGGGTGGGGAGTTGTATTTCAATTTTTAATTTTTGTTTTAATTGAATCGTAATAATTCAAAATTAGAAAATATGTGTAAATTGTGAATATTTTAATAATTTTTATGATGACCGGATGGTGACGTGGCATGTTGAGTGTTAGTCAATGCATTTGACCGTCTAAGATAATGGTCAAACATCGGGTTTGGTCAATGTCGTTACTTTGATGTATATGTTCATTATGGTCAAAGTTCAGGTCATACAAATATATTAACCATTGAGTTTAGTTAGACATTATTTTAAGATTAATTGGTAAATCTGTAAATTTTACTCTATATGCCTTTTGTGCCATGGTGTCTCACATTCATTTAGTTAGTATTTTGATCCACTGCTATCCTATGTAATTTTGATATTTTTTCGGCATGATAACATATTTTTTTATACGGTATTTTAACAAATATATATTATTTTATTTAAAAAATAATATTTTACCAATACGAAATGGCTAAACCATGGTTATATCACAAAATACCCTACTATAGAATAATCCGGTATGACCTCCAAATCCGATACGGGTTTTCAATCTTTGCAAATGAGTTTGAATCGAGTCGATAAGTGCATACATTTTAGTTGTTCATATCATATTATTTAATAATAATATTGATATGACTTGAATAGGATTATCTGTCATTGACTGGAAGTCACAGGGGTCTCGATGTAATCTTCTCAGTCTCTCTGTAATATCTTTCTCCTCGAGACTCATGCGATGGTGATTAGGTGTGGAAATCGATACGGTATCGGTATCCCAATACCAAATACCAAAATCCCGAATACCGAATTACATCCTAAATTCAATCCCAATCCATAAATAATTTTGGTATCCCAATCGGTACTTTGGTATCCCAATCGATATTATTGAATAAGAAATTAATTACCTTTTCAATTAATTATTAAATATATAAATTAGATTTGATTGTTTAATATAGGACAAAGAGACTAAGCAAAGAGTCTTGAGTTTGGCTAGAGATATGATATGGATAAGGAGAATGGAGGAGAGGTGAAATCTCAAGTTTTTGTCATTGGTAATCTTTAATTTGATAAATTGGAGGCTGAGAGAAGACTAATACTAGTGTTTTTTTTTATGTTATGAACTAACAATAAATTGGTGGTTGAGGGTCGTGTAATAGTGAATGAGAGAGTTTAGTTGAGAGCATAAAATACACATTAGCTTATATTTCGGTATTGTTTGGTATTTCGGTATATTATGATCCCAATCCCGTAATCCCTAATACCGAATAACAATTGAAATTGAATCCCAATCCCAAGAAATAATACGTGTATTCGGTAATATCAAATATAGACAAATTCGGTACGGTATTCGGTATATCCCAAATACCGGTACCAAACTTCCAGCCCTAATGGTG